CGTTTTATTTAATTTTGAATCATTAATGTTGCTCAACAAACGTGTATAACTGAGAGAAACTAAGTGAGCTGCGGTGTTTCAGTGAAATGCGCCGAGTTTTTTGTTTTGTTGACACGATCTTGTTGGGTAAAACATATTTATTTCCTATTGGCTCCTGACTCCAGCAATTTGCATAGAGGCGGAGCCTTTGATTTGCTTACTATTAACGCGTTTTCATTCCACTAAGGCTACCTTCCCTTAAGCGAACGCGGCTTTAGGGCTTTCTGATCTGGATTGAGTTAGCAGAGCTATGTTTTTCGCGTTTACATTGCAGTTTAATCTGTTAATATTCGGGCTAAATGACTAATATTGCTTCGGCAGAAGTGGCTGTGAAAAACAGTGAAATTGAGGTTTAGGTCTGATTAACTCAGAAAGTTAATTTACAAACAAAATATATAATTTTTAAATAAATTATTTCTTACATGCAGTCAGTGTTTAGCATCTTAAGCAGGTTTGCTCACCAGTGCTTAAGTGCTATTAAAAGAGCAGCCGCTGACATCTGATTGTTTTACTCTATTAAATTAGATATTCTTATAATTTATCTTTGTTTCATTGAGAACAGCAGAATAAAAAGCGTTCAAACTGTTGTTTCTTAACTGTAACAGCGCGCCGTCTTCTGGCGAGAGGCCGTCATTACACTGAGATTTAATAAGTGTTACTTGTTTTAAAAAATACAACAGGCCTATTTTCTTGATGTACACTCTTATAAAAGGTGGGTTCTTTAGTCAAGGAAATGGTTCTATATAGAACCATGAATACTCAAAGAACCATTTGCATGATTTAATGGTTTTCAAAAAGGTTCTATATAGAACCATTTACAGCACACTCTCTATCAATCTAAAGAACTCTTTAATCATGCCCTTAACCCTTGAAGCGGCATCTTTTTTTAAGAGCGATAGCAGAAATCTGATGTTGGTCGTATTTAAAGGGGAAATCCACCCATTTTTTGAAAGTCATTCAGAGTGGTTTGGTGTGAAACGCTCTGTTCTAGAGAAACTTACCGATTCAGAACTGTTCACAGTGGTGGTGATAGGAACCAGACGTCCGAAATAGTTTAATGTCCCTGAAAGCTACGTCAAGTAGAGATTTACTGCTATTTTACTATCATCAACACTGCAGATAAAAACTCAATAGATGTGTAGGTTGACTGGACATTTTGGATAGTAAATAAAATGGCTATATTTGCATTGTAGATGCCTTGACCCCTGGTTCCTATCACCACCACAGTAAAGAAATCAGAGTTTCTCTACAATAAACCATTTCACATCAAACCACGCAATGGCTTTGGTTACATGTCAGCGATTGAATTGTGCAGATTAAACACAATGGGTGGATTTCCCCTTTAATGCGTGCCAAGTTCTACAGAACTTTGAAATGATTCCAGTGAATCTTAGATGACTTTTTGGTAATTATGTATGCGCTGTTGCTAACAACCAAACCCTAACCTTAACCTCACCAACCAAAACAGAATCTTTTACATATGAGCTGAACACACGGCCACAAACATGCAACCAGAAACACAAAAGAGCTGAAATGAGTTTTGTATTGGTTGCAATGGAACAACCAATTCCGAGCATGTGTAGCACTCAAGGTTATCCAAGCAAGAAGGAGGCACTGGAAATGTCAAGTGGAAATGAATAGCTATAAAAATGTCATTTCCAGCAGTCCGTCAGGAAGAAACCGTTAATGCCGCTTCGCAGCACACAGTAGCACCACAAGAGCATGTGAATGCCATTAATCAAGCATTAGCTCTTTTAGAAAAGACCTGTTAATGTAAACGTGTGGCTCTATTCACTCCAGTCAATGTGCTGTAGCTCCAGTGAAATAAAGGAGCTTCTTAGTACCTCCAGCATCAACCAGCATAAGAAGTGAAGTTTGTTAGGCTCTATTCTTCTCTTTTTAGATCCTTTTGGTCTAAAATAACATGTTAAAGCTTCATGGTGATATTCATATATTTACTTTATTGATCCTATAAGACAAATTAGTCATTGTCCTGCCAAACTATGGCCAGTCTGGAATCAGCACAGCTGCTAAATACCTTCCTTAAGGGCACAACCAGGTGTACCCAGTCAGTCTTGGGATTTGAACCCCTGACCTTCCAGTTGCTGGCTCACCTCTCTACAACTAGACTAATGGCCACTCCAAGTACAAAGTACATCTTGTGATTAAGTTTCCAAAGGCCAATAAATGGCCAATGCATTTTGCCCTATTCTCTTCCTTTGCTGTAAACTGTAAACTGGGTGGTCCTAATCCTGGGTAGCGGTTACATTAGCAGTACCATCACCAATCGCTGGGTGATCGGGGGGCTCCTCCTGCCCACACAGCTTTAACAAAACAGTGTTTCCTGTGGTCTTTCTCTCTTTTTAAGTTACTGTTGGGACCAAGAGCTATTTTCTTCCTTGCCCAAAGCCCCAACATATGATGGTTTTTAAAATCTGTGCTGTGGTTTTGTTCTAATTATTGTCTTAATCACTTACAAAAATAAACAAAAATAAAATAAACAAAAATAAAAAGGCTATTCAATCAAAAATAATGTAGAATAAAAGACTTCAGCCACTGAGTTCTTGTGGAAGGGAGAAAAAGGCTTCTTCTTTGTTTCAGCATCAGGTGGCACAGGGTCTCGAGAGACCCCAACTGCGCAAATGCAGTGTTCCAAACAACAGTTTATACCATTTATGTGGGGTAATGTGACATCCCCCCGCCTTATTTCTCAGATTCTGATATTAGCTCATTCTCTAATAGGTGCATCTCTTCGTCCATCAGTTTGGCCATCGCATGATGAGCTCACTCCTCAAAACTGGCTTCAACAGGTTTCTACCAGCCTGCTCTACCTTTCAAGGTCAACCTGCCCCTCTCTTCACTGGGTCAGTAGGTACACACAGGCCTCTCTGTGAACCCAGAGGCTTTCCAGGGTCTAGAATCGCCTATGCAGACAGACTAAGGCCGACCCTTTGTGAAAGAATTAATATTCTCTGTTAGGCAATACTTCCTATTTGGTTATTGATTACAGCATCTAATCCATCTGATTACTGATTAAGGGAATATTTATTCAAAATCTCTGTCATTACCAAGCAAAGGCTAATAACCAAGCGAAAGCTAACCTAGCATAGGCTATCAAGCTAGCTCATCTGTCTGCCAGTGTTTGTTGAAATGTTCCTTCATAGTGCAGATTTATATGTGGCTCCATATGTAAACCTGTAGGTAGGACATTTTGATAGCCTATCAGAAAATGCTACCAGCACTGAAATGCATTAGTAGGATAATTTGATAGCTTCAATCTCCTTATCAGAAAATGATATCAGCAATAAAGAATAATTAGAATATTTTGATAGCCTAACTCACCTTATCAGGGGGTAAGTAGTAATATTATCTTGACATAATAAACATAATAAAATGAAACATTAAGTTACTGCACTCTTAAAAAAGATCCTTCAAGGGTTCTTTAGTAAAGAAAATGGTTCTTTGTGGAACCATTAACAATTAAAGAACCCTTTGCTTTGTTTAAATGGTTCTTTGCATCATTAAACGTTCTTCAGATTGATGGAAATTGTGCGTGAATGTGCTGTAGACGGTTCTACATAGAACCTTTTTTTAAAAGGTCCCTTTATGATCCCTTTACAATGATAACCGTGTCTGAATGCTAAACTATGTTGGTGAGGCTGAATACATGCAATCTTTTAGCTACTGCTACACTGTTTAAAAAGATGGTTTTTCAAGGGTTCTTTAGTAAAAACAATGGTTCTGTATAGGACCATGAACACTCAAAGGATAATTTGTGTGCTGAAATGGTTCTGTGCATGGTGAAATGGTTCTTCACGTCAACAGAGAATGTGTTGTATACAGTTCTATACAGAACCTTTCAGAAAATATTCTATGTGTCGCACCAAAACAGGTTCTTCTATTGTTACAAGCTTGACATAGTAACCATAGAAGAACCATTTTCAAAAAGGGTCTATATAGAATCATCTACAGCACATTCTCCATCAGTCTGAAGAACCCATTCACTATGCAAAGAACCCTTTAATCATGCAAAGGGTTCTTTGAGTGTTCATGGTTCCATATAGAACCATTTTCTTTACTAAAGAAACCCCTGTACTAATGACATGCACATGGTAGGACCCCCGATGTGTAGGACAAATTTTCCGAACTTCCATCATCCGTCCGCTGGTTTGTCCATCATTCTTTTATTTGTTTGTTTATTCATCCCGCCATACCAGTATTACCTGGATGCACGTCCAGCCACAAAGTAAATAAGAACCTTATCTTCCTCAAGACATCAACATATGAAAAAAAAAAGCTGGATTATGTCTGCAGTGAGCCATGAACACAGCAGGCTAGTACAGCACAACCTGCCTGTTTCACTCATTGCTCCCCACTAGTGCTGTTGTGTTTAGTTCTGCTTCAGTGGCTTAGCAGCCTAGGAGTCTTAGATTGAGAGATATCAATAACGTGTGCTCATTAGAATACTCAGGCCACGCCCAGACAGTTCTCAGGTTCAGTTCTACCTTATGTCATAAAATGATCCTCGATTATTAAATTCAAAAACATTATGTGTGCAGAGGTCCTTTTGGAGTATGTTGCCTTGAGGCAACATTGTGCGACAATGGGGAGAACTGATATTGACCTGTGTTCCCCGAAGTGGTGAGACCTGACTTGTAACTGGCTAAATCCACTCCTCTGTCCTGCAGTGTTGCTTCTAGACAACAAACATATTTCTGCAAATTGCCATAACAAAGAAAACTGATAATGAATGTTTGACTTACTCAAACTCTTCCCTTGATTGTTAATCCTATCGTTGTCTTTAAATATGTATAACGTTATTGTAAAGTGAGGAAAAAGAGTTTGTTGCCCTGAGGCAACATCATGCAATAGAGAGTTAAGATAACTGAATAATAAGTGTTCATATTAATAACTGAATATTAAGCCATTTATGCAGTTAAAAACACTCATTTAATGCTTACATGTTCTCGAAGCCTTTCCTGGTGGCCCATGATGGTGGACGCGTGGTGGGGGTACTTCTGCTTCAGGTGCTCCAGAAAGGCCTCCCTCCTGCGCTCAACGTTGTGTGGCTGCATAGCTACCGTGTGTCTGCGGGGCACCGTGCGAGGAGACCAGGGGTCCAGGTGGTCGCTTTCGTCCCTACTGCCCTGCCTACTGTCTAGGCTGTCCACATCCTCAGCAGAGCAGGGCCTCTGCTTGCCTTTCACCGGCTCTGTGATCGAAATAATAAAGAAAAACAGGCACAGGAAGAAAGTTTAGACAGGGACACGCACCAGGCCAGCTGTCTTCGGTTCAAGACCCGCAATTAATTAGTATGATAAGCAACACAGACACAGTAATGACCATCTAAAGGGTCAGCCAGCTGCTGGCCAATGGAGCAATTAAGGGGCCCAGCGACAGGCAGACCGTTTATCTCTCATAAACTGCTTGTGCACTGCATGATGTTCTGTATTGACAAATCGTTACTCTGCATAAAAAGCAATAAATACAGCCACAGCTCTTTAGCAAAAGTCTCTGAGTCATACTCCCTGCACTGAAGCAAAAGGAGTGTTGATATAATGCATCGGTAGAACATAACACTCTACATCAACACTACTTATTGCTAAAAAGTAAGTAAGTGAAAGACAATGAATGTCGTTTAATATTCATATGAAAGCGATGTACACACTTGAATCAATATAAATTTTTTCAGTGCTGAAAAATTGTCTCAGTAGTGAACTTCAGTAGTCATAAGGGGAGAGTTTGAATGCAAACACATTTGTTTGACACTAATAAGCCCTTCCTGAAGAGCAAACAAGCGATCCCTGCTGATGTTAGATTCTGCTACGTAGGCCATAATAGCCAGAAATCAATGCATTAAAAAAACAAAAGAAAATAAACTTTATATCAAACTGCAAGCTTGCCATCACAGCACACCGATAAAAACAGAAAAAAAAAATAAAATGACAACAAAGCTAACATTTTCCCCCTTTAATTTTAGGTATTTTATAACTCCTGCATTGTACACAGCTGTATATACAATATCTGGGTGCCCCAGTTCCTTTACATGTTTTGCTGATGTAGTGAAAATAAGTACACATCCTTAACACAGAACACACTTCTGCACATTTTAATGCAACTAATTTTTTACTTGCTGGATTTATCATATCAGAGAAATAAATAAAACATTAAATGTGGCCTTTGTAAAGTTATTTAGTTTATTTAGTATTTTATGTTTTATTTTTCCAGTGTATTCAACTCGGGAAATAAACACTGATGTGTTGAAAAAATGTCAAATTTAAGTTTAACTTCTATGCGTCACCGGTGTAATTTGCTTTAATGGCTGGGCCAATAAAATTTAGTCAAAGAAATGCCATATATAATTTTTATTACTGATTTTTCACCTGACCACAAATGAGTCAGCCAGTTTACAAAGTGCTCAGTTTTAACCAGAATGTCACTGGTGTCACAGTCACTGGTGTTGCACCATATTCATATAACACCAGTGACTGTAAAATATGTTTGGAATTAAGCTCTCCTTTTTGCTTATATGACCATAGGAGATTAGGCAAATTAAGATTATTTAGTTTTGGGATGGGCAGCACAGTGGCGCAGTGGGTAGCGCTGTCGCCTCACAGCAAGAATGGCCTGGCCGGGTGGCTAGGGTCATTTCTGTGTGGAGTTTGCATGTTCTCCCCGTGTCTGTGTGGGTTTACTCCGGTTTCCTCCCACAGCCCAAAAACATGCAGTCAGGCTGATTGGACATGCTAAATTGCCCCTAGGTGTGAGTGTGTGTGCCCTGCGATGGACTGGCGACCTGTCCAGGGTGTATCCTGCCTTCTGCCCAATGACAGCTGGGATAGGCTCCAGCACCCCACTGCGACCCAGAAGGATAAGCGGTTTAGATGATGTATGTATGTAGTTTTGGGATGAAAGAAACCACCGTAATTCCCACTCCAAATGGAGAATAACCCAAAACCTTTGCACAGAGCTGTGTACATATTATGCTACCATAATTGTCTGAGACTATTTACCTGAAAAAGACGATGTAATCACTTTGGCCTGGCCTGACTGCTAATTACATCCACACATGCTCTGAGGTGTCAGGAAATAACCTAAAGAACGCAACTGCAAAGCCGTCCATATGAAGCTTTCCATTAATCCACGAATATTAAGAACATTTCAAAGTGTGTGTGGAACGCAGCATGTTTTTCTATAGGGCTTGAGCTGATGGCCTCCTGTTATGAGGTCTTGACAAACCATTTGGCCGAGCAGCTAATTATATGCTCTGACTGTTGCATTAAAGCTAAACATCATTTTATAAATCCTACATGGCGTGCCAAACATATCATCATAGTCTTAAAGGGGAACTTCACCATTTTTTCAAAATTTCTGCAGAATTCTGTCAGGCAGCGATTTCTTTACAGTAGGGGGTGATAGGAACCAGGGGTCACAACGTCAACAGCGCTAATATAATGGTGCTTAGCCTCATCTATGTCTTAAAAAGGAAAAAAAATGCATATTAAAATCAAGCTTTCAACAAATAATGAATTAGGTTTAAGAAACTACAGGAAATACAGTTTTCTCTGTTTTGGCTCAGCTAATTTTGACGCCAGCCTAGCCACTGAGCTGTAAACACAAATGAGCTGTATCTCACCTAGGTTATCAAACAAAACCGTAAAGAAGACAGTCATTCTATCTTTATCAGCAAAAAAATGGACAGTTTTTACTTTTTCAGCCAGAGGAATGAAAGTATTCAGATAGCCAGGTAGCTACTTTGCTAACTTTAGTTTTTAGCTTTGTTTCTTCATTGTGATGATGATTTGAAGACAGTTACAACAGTTAGACGGCTGCAGTAAGATATTCGGCTAACTAGCCGTAATGTTAGCCGTCTGATTTGGAAAAATATTCAAAATTACCTCATAATTACCTCATAATACACCCCAAAAGTAGCTGTACCAGATCCAGATTGCCAGATAGCTACTTTGCTAACTTTGTTTCTTAATTGTAATGATGATTTGAAGACAGTTACAACAGTTAGATGACTGCAGTAAGATATTCGGCTAACTAGCGGTAATGTTAGCCGTCTGATTTGGTGATGTTCACCAACTAATGGAAAAATATTCAAAATTACTTCATAATTACCTCATAATACACCCCAAAGTAGCTGTACCAGATCCAGATAGCCAGATAGCTACTTTGCTAACTTTGTTTCTTAATTGTAATGATGATTTGAAGACAGTTACAACAGTTAGACGGCTGCAGTAAGACATTTGGCCAAGTTCATTTTTTGACAGAATCAAAATGGTTTTAAATGGTGTAAAAACAAGCAAAATGTTTTTCATATAACAATGAAAGCACTTATAAAACTTTCAGAGGTTTATTTTTTGTGTGCTGTTTGATTCAACAAGCCCTCAGCACAAGGAACTACTATGATGCAGTTTGAGATACAGTGAGCCAGGCATATAAAAGCTCTCCTGAGACACTCTAGATATGAGAGCGTGTCCCTAAAGGACAACAGCGGTAATCTACAGCGTTCTGCTCTGCGATCCGAAAGAGAGGTCAGCTATAATCGGCTTTACTTAGTTTCTCACAACAGAGTGTTTAGCAGTAGGAGTCGGACTGTCTGCTTGTTAGCGTAAATACCACTGTGTGCTCTGTCTGTGGTAGTTTTTCATCAGGAGTTAGGAGTCTCACCGGTATGCGCAACAATTAAACTATCACATTAGAAGCCCTGGCACTATTTGCTTCTTGCAGAAAGGCTTAAAAATACTTTTCTTTACTCGTCGCTAAAATGGGCAGGATAGTTTCAGTGTTAGCATTATGTTCCTCCTAAGCTTTCGTGGACTGAAAAGTGAAGCGTCAAGCATTCCGGCCTAAAACTACAGTTTAATGCTTTGGTGGTTTAATGCAGTATTATGTAGTGCAGCATTGACAGAATGTGTGATTTCATATCATCAGTATTTTTTCAGTCATTAATTTCCCTCACTACATTACCCAGAATGCATTACGCACCATATAACCCTTGAGAATATGTGGAGTGCTCAGCTAATTTTGACGCTAGCCTAGCCACTGAGCTGTAAATACTAATGAGCTGTATCTCACCTAGGATATCTAACAAAACCATAAAGAAGATTCTACCTTTATCAGCAAAAATGGGCCGTTTTTACTTTTTCAGCCAGAGGAATGATGACAAACCGAGGTAAAGTATCCAGATAGCCAAGTTGCTACTTTGTTAACTTTAATTTTTAGCTTTGTTTCTTCTTTGTAACGATGATTTGAAGACAGTCACAACAGATAGACGGCTGCAGTAAGATATTCGGCTAACTAGCGGTAATATTAGCCGTCTGAGTTCCTTCCATGTTCACCAGCTAACAGAAAAAATATTCAAAATTACCTCATAATTACCTCATAATACACCCCAAAGTAGCTGTACAAAGTACTTTAATCATCTTGTTGCTGACAACGTAGCATCGTATTGAAGCAGCTGACAATCTCACAGCAAATGCTAGCTAGGCTTAAGTACAGGCTCCGTACTGCGGGTTAGCTCTTACATGGCTTTACAGCTAAGACAGCTTCAGTAAACAAAGACAAATAAAGTACATTTTGTCTTTTTGCTCCATATTTTAGAAAGATTTTAAAATGAAAAAGAGAAAATATCTGAAAACAGGGATTCCTTCTACTTTATTATATCTTTCAGATGTATTTTGGTTTTAATTAAGTATATTAATGAAACTGACATTAACAGCTGGTAAAGCTGTCGTTATTCAGAAACAATATCCCATATTTTAGTTTTGTATTTGCTGTCCAACACTGGACAAAAAATAAATCTGTCATTATTTGACACACAGTCTCATATCAGTTTTCATATATAATTTGATGTGTGTGTATCTATTAATTGATCTGTCTATCTCTTTTATAGATACATAATATATAATGCAGTATGATTGGAAAATATATTTGTTTCTTACAACATATAATAATATTGAATTAACTTTGTTTGCACTAATTCATGTGGTAAACTGACCCTGTGTCTGTTATAGTTAATCCACCCAATGGGCTAAACTGTAACACCGCACTTCCCGTCATTTTCCGTGGAATTGTACCTGAACGGTAGATGCAAGAAACAACGTTCAAGTGCTCGTTTGTATCAAAGATGTTTATGTTGTTTGTATAAAAAAAAAAATGATCATTCCAGCTTCAATATTTTTAATATTATTTTGGAAAAACTAA